TCACGGGCTGCTTCCTGGGGGGTGTGTGTGTGTATGTGGTGTGGAAAAAAAAAAAAAAAAAAAAAAAAAAAAAAAATAGTAGTTAGTAAACAGTTGATTGACAGTTGAGAGGCGGGCCGAAAGAGCAAAGCTCAACCCCCGTAAAAAACACAACTAGTAAACACACACACACACACACACACACACACACACACACACACACACACACACACACACACACACACACAGTTTCAAGTGTAGATATGATAGAGCCCAGTAGTCTCAAGAATCTGTACACCAATTGACTGACAGTCGAGAGGCGGGACCAAAGAGCCAGAGCTCAACCCCCGCAAGCACAACTACTCGAGTACAACTAGGTGAGTACACACTCGCACATCACAAGGAGTACAGGTACTCGCGAGGATATATGAAGTAACCAATGAGGAGCCAGTCAGTTTAGTGCCTCCTTAAAGCCTAGGACACGGTCTCAGATTACACTCAGGAGGAGGAGGAGGAGAGAAGATGGTCAGGGAGCAGGAAGAGGAGGGAAGAGGGTCGGGGAGGAAGAGGAGGAGGAGGGAGAGAATCTCCCACTCACTAACATCGTTATTTCCTCTTCATAACATTTTTACAGCTCTATATTAACTATTGTTGTTGTTGTGTCTCATCTTGTGTTTGTGGGTCCTCCCGTCTCCCCCACCATGGTCTCTCCCCACCATGGTCTCTCCCACCATGGTCTCTCCCCCACCATGGTCTCTCCCCCACCATGGTCTCTCCCCACTACAGTCTCCAGTATCTCCACAACATCCTTACTCCTTCTCTATCTCTCAGTTTTCTTATCCTTCATTCCACTCTCCCCCTGCAATGTTTCTCCTCAGCCAGCCCACACTCGCCTTCTCTCTAAGTCTCCTCCCGTTCCTCTCACTCTCCCACCCTCTCCCTTGCCTCTCCTGCTGAAGGAGCCCGTCCCACCAACAAGGAGGAAACGGAGGCTGAGAGAGGACTAATTTCTGCTATCTGGGGAGGATAAAGGGTCTGGATATTGGGCCATATTACGTCATATTGGGTCATTATCCTACATTATGTCTTACATTCTTCACCTGGTCCCTCCCCCTCACCCCACGGACCCCACTCCTGCTCCTACCAACACATTACTCTCTCTCTCTCTCACTCTCTCTCTCTCTCTCTCTCTCTCTCTCTCTCTCTCTCTCTCTCTCTCTCTCTCTCTCTCTCTCTCTCTCTCTCTCTCTCTCTCTCTCACTGATTCACTCACTGACTCACTCCCTCCATCTCTCTCACTCCCTCCATCTCTCTCTCTCTCTCTCTCTCTCTCTTGCTCTCTCACACACACACACACACATTAGACAACCGCAACCAGAAAGCGGAGCCCAAGAGTTAGAGCTTGATCCTGCAGGCACATATAGGTGAGAACACACTCTCACAAACACGTTTTCCATCACATCCGCTTCAGTATATTCACGTCTTGTTAACTTGATCTACTCCCTTCCACTCCCTCGTTCCTTCCTGTCCCATCACCCTTCTCTGGCATCTCTTCTCTCCTCCTGCTCTCACTTCCGGAAGTGTAAAGGTGAGTGCGCCAAACACAGGGAGAGTTACGCTAATCTTGACAGGGTCAAGGGGTCTTGGAGTCAAGAACTGTGCCAGTGCGCAGGTCTTCTTAAGATTGAACATATGAGAGATGGACCATAGCCCCCATGACCAGTCTCTCTGTGTCTAGCCTTCACCTGGTGCCCGGGGGAGAGCACTGGCATCCCTTCACACAGATACAACGTGTAGGATTCCTTGGGATGCTTGCCTAGTGTGTGTGGGACACCGTTGCTGGTCCAGGGCTCCCACACCTGGGGTGCTGCTTGCTGAGGTGTGGTGTTGTTTATACAGTTAAGGAAGGTTCTTCACCTGAGGAAGGTCCTCTATCTGAGGAAGGTCCTCCACCTGAGGAAGGTCCTCCACCTGAGGAAGGTCCTCCACCTGACCTACAACCTTCTCCTTTTTTTAATCAAACTTTTAATCAAACAATTACGCCTCTTCCTTCATTGTTCTTTTTTCATGAAAATGTTGACAACTGAGACACGCTGAGAAGCGCCCAGGATCTCGATTTATTTGCTGGAGAATGTTTGCCTGCAGCCAGCCAGGACCTCACCCACTCAGCACCCGTGGTGAGTGGGTGAGGTCTTGACAAATACACAGCTGTTGATTCACTGTTCTCATCTTATCTCTCACTGTGTAACCACATATACTCTTCTAATTGTACTCACCTGTTTGGGTCTGCGGAATCGTCCTTCAGCGCCTGGTCCCCGTCATTCCTGCTTTTTATATCGTGGATGGAGTGGGATTTCCGACTACTTTCTCGTATGATTCGTCAGTGTCTCTGTGGTTCGTCCAGACACTCGTTCTATTTGGAGTCAATGTGAACAATCATCTCGTTTTCCCTCGTAATAAACTCAGTCTCTTCTGCCTCTCTTCATATCCTGTTTCTGATCCGGTCTCCTTGCAAACTTTTAAACATTTCTTCTCCTTTTCTTGAATGTTTGTAGAGGTTGGGGCTCTGTGTGAGGGCAGCGTACTCTAGGGGCTGTACCTGGATTGTACCTGGATGGGGTTCTGGGAGTTCTTCTAGTCCCCAAGCCCGGCCCGAGGCCAGGCTTGACTTGTGAGAGCTTGGTCCAACAGGCCTAAGTTGCTTGGAGCGGGGCCCGCAGGCCCATATACCCACCACAGCCCGGTTGGTCCGGCACTTCTTGAAGAAAAACTATCCAGTTTTTTCTTGAAGATGTCCTCGGTTGTTCCGGCAATATTTCTTATACTCGCTGGGAGGATGTTGACAAATGTGGACCTCTGATGTTTATACAGTGTTCTCTGATTGTGCCTATGGCACCCCTGTTCTGTGTGATTCCTAAATTCCTGCTCTGATTCCTAAATCTTAACTCGTCCAAGTTAAACCATTATTTCGAGTTCTGTTTTATGTTGATGTATTTAACACGTTTTTGTTATCGCCTTTGTTATACCCTTCATCCGTTATATACTTCAATTACGTCCCCTCTTATTCCTCGTCTTTCTATAGCGTGTAAATGAAACATTTACAATCTCTCTTCACAGAAGACGAGGCTCTTAATTCCTGGAAATAACTTTGGTACGCTTCTTTATTTGTGCTCAAGTGGTTTTATGCTTCTTGTATAGTTGGGTGAGCAAACCTGAACACTATAATGTAAAGGAAGCCTAACAAGCACCCAACTAATCATGACGCCTAGATCTTTTTCACATTGAGATCTGGCTTTCTCGATCATGTCGAGTTAATATCTAGTAACTCTACCATCATTTTCTCGGCTTTGAATGTTGCATTTGTCAGCATTATATTGTATCTACTAGTCCTTCGTCAAATTTAAAAGCTTTCTAAACCAATTTGTTGCGATTTTGAGGTTTCTAAATTTATTCCACGCCCTACTTCTATATCAATTGGAATTTTGCTTAATTTTGCTGTTCATTCCTATATCTAAATCGTTTATATAATGGGGCACAAGAGAGAGGTCCGAGGATTGAGTCCCGAGTGGCAGCCCTCGCGACGGCACCCAGTGAGGCTGGTGGCACCTGTGGCACCCATACACACCAGTGGCACCCTCACAACAGTGGCACCCTCACACCCCCACACACACCAACCTCTCCTAAAAAGAACGTCGCATTTCGCTCGAGTGCGTTACATAAAGCCAAACATTGTCGTACTAGAAAATGGAAGCGGCTGGCGAAAGTGACGTACTGTCCCGTTTTCTGTTTTGGGTCCTCTGGAAGGTTAGGAGAGGACACCTTAAGAGGACGGGCTGCCCATCACGCAAACGTTAACACAACCAACACTTGCCAAACAAGCGGTATCAACCGGCTAAAGCGACGAGCAAACCATGCCATTCAAGGTAGTCACTTCATTAGTGAAGCCTTCCCCGACACGTCAAGCCATCTAAGAGGAAGCCAAGTTAACAAGGCGATGAAGCTCTCTTAAACAAAGCCGGAGGATTCCATCTTAGCACACCAAGACTTAATGTCTATAAACAGAGCAGGTCAGTTGAGCCTGGCCTCAGGCCGGGCTCAGGGAGTAGAATAACTCACGAAACTCGCTCCAGGTATGCTCTAGGTAAGCATGTTAATAAACAGTGCTGACCAGCATGCCAGTAAACAGTACAGGTCAGCATGTTAGTAAACAAGTAGTTCAGCATATCAGCAAACATAGCATTACAGCATGCTAGGAAACAGAGCAGGCCAAAATGTGTGTAAATAGAGCGGACCAGCATGTCAGTCAACAGGACAGCCAGTATGTCAGTAAACAGTAAAGGCAACCATGTCAGTAAACAGAGCAGGCCAGCATGTTAGTAAACAGAGCAGGCCAGCATGTCAGTCAACAGAACAGGTCAGCATGTCAGTCAACAGAGCAGGCCAGCATGTCAGTCAACAGAGCAGGCCAGCATGTCAGTCAACAGAGCAGGCCAGCATGTCAGTCAACAGAGCAGGCCAGCATGTCAGTCAACAGAGCAGGCCAGCATGTCAGTCAACAGAGCAGGCCAGCATGTCAGTCAACAGGACAGCCAGTATGTCAGTAAACAGTAAAGGCAACCATGTCAGTAAATAGAGCAGGCCAGCATGTTAGTAAACAGAGCAGGCCAGCATGTTAGTAAACAAAGCAGGCCAGCATGTTAGTAAACAGAGCAGGCCAGCATGTCAGTAAACAGAGCAGGCCAGCATGTCAGTAAACAGAGCAGGCCAGCATGTCAGTCAACAGAGCAGGCCAGCATGTCAGTCAACAGAGCAGGCCAGCATGTCAGTCAACAGAGCAGGCCAGCATGTCAGTCAACAGAGCAGGCCAGCATGTCAGTAAACAGAGCAGGCCAGCATGTCAGTCAACAGAGCAGGCCAGCATGTCAGTCAACAAAGCAGGCCAGCATGTCAGTCAACAGAGCAGGCCAGCATGTCAGTCAACAGAGCAGGCCAGCATGTCAGTAAACACAGTATCGACCTACGTGTGTGTGGAGGCAGGCGGAGCAGACGGAAACTGGCACCTGTGAGGTCTGGAAAATAATAACAAAAATGTATAGGTGTGAAAAGTCTGAGAAATATGGCTACACAACACTCACTTATTTCTTGAGAAGAGGCGTAAATAATAATAATAAAAACTAATAATAATAATAATAATAATAATAATAATAATAATAATAATAATAATTATGAAGGTGAAGGAAAGACTCAATTTATGTATAAGTGTATAAAAAACATATATCTAAGGAGGTAACCTTAGGTTACATGTGTGGTGAGGACGAGCCTCACCTGATTAGTGTTTGAGATGTAAGTCTTTGAATTTTTATCCTAAAATAATAATAATAGAAATAATAATGCACAGAGGAATCACATTAACATGATGTATCAATGAGGTAGAATACAAGCCAGAGTGCATGGGGGGGGGCATTGTATGGAACACTGATTAGGCTTCAGTGTAACCCTTAGGAACTCTAGGAGAATTCATTTGAATCCCAGGTAGTAATGCTTTTGACCATGTCGTGGCGAAGTGGTCTAAAGCGTGCGCTGGGGAGTACTAAGTACGAATCCTCTTCATGGCTCGTAATGATTTTCTTAATAATAATAATAATAATGAAGATAGAAAAACGAAGAAGTAGAGGTATCAGAGACAAAACTAAACAGACACACACATTAAGAGATGAGAATGAGTCAGCAAGACCACCTTCCCAAACAGTGTGTTGACATGGAAGACAAACACAAGACGCTTTTAAGACGCTTCCCCCAAATTACCTCCTTTAGGTTATCATAATATTCAGATTTATTGTGCAACCTTAAGCAGAAATTATTAAAAGTCAATATAATTCATATATTCACTAAATTTTTGTTTGAAAAAAAACTTTAATGATTTTTTTTGTATCTAAACACAACCTCCAGGAAGTATACAATATGAAATACACACCCCAGGAAGTACACAGTATGGCATACAACACCCCGGAAGTATGCAGTACGAAATACAACACCTAGAAAGTGTACAACATGAAATACAACACCCAGGTAGTATACAGAGTGAAATACAGCACCCTGGAAGTTCAACTGCCCCTTGTAAGAGGATGAGAACCCACAGGCTTCGCTGTATTACACTCATGTTCGATAGTTAACTTGGGCTTAAATACAGATTTTATGGACCAAAAAGGAAAGAATTTCTGTGACCTAAAAGATAACAAACGGATTCGCGATCTTGCTTTTATGGCGGTTACCTTACCTTGAGGTGCTTCCGGGCCTTAGCGTCCCCGCGGCCCGGTCGTCGACCAGGCCTCCTGGTTGCTGGACTGATCAACCAGCGGTTACTATAGACCACTACAACAGTACCTGAACATACGAGATGTAACAGCACAATGCACTGGTGAAAGAGTTTTGTGACTTTGTGCTTTTGAGATGAAACTCCAGTATTTTGAAAGACAACTTGCAAGGAATAACTTTCACTTACAAAATCCGAGCAAGCTATACTGACCTAAGTTTTGTGCTGACCCCCACACAGAATACTACTGCAAGATTTCTAAGTTAAGGAATGAGTTTCACGAAAGACTTTATCGAATTTAAATACCTCGAGAAAGATTTCTCCATTTATTTTTTTCGGAACCTATGTTATATCAGAATGTCTTGAGCAAGACTTTACATAGTATCAAGAGAAAGTCTTGATACAATGTGAAGTATCAGAATGTCTTCAGCAAGACGTAACTGACTTACAATGTGATCTGTTTAGCGGAAAAACTTTTCGCCGGTTGATATCGGCCCATTTTACCCATATCTTGAACCAGATTATTCCGGAGTCATTTTTTTCCTTTTTGTATCAGTTTATGTTTGGAAGTATATATGTCTGTGAGCAGCTCTTTTCTGTAATGAACGTTAACAAATCTCGGCTTCGTTCTCAACCTATTGATGCACACCTGAACTCAATACCCAAGGTTGCTGTAGCTTGGTCATACGCTCCGGACTCCGATGCCAAGTGCCAGAGTGGGAGATGCCAGGTGTCGAGAAGCAGCAACATCAGACAATAAGATAAATGTTAGAAAAATCTGCATACTTATTTTTTTCCATTTACGACTATTTTACTTTTGGCCCAGGAGGTAGGGAGGGAGGGAGGGAGGGAGGGAGGGAGGGAGGGAGGGAGGGAGGGAGGTAGGTAGGTAGGTAGGGAGGGAGGGAGGGAGGGAGGGAGGGAGCGGGAAGGTCTTCCGTGGCACAGCTTCCATTAATTAGAATCATGTGAAATCTGATTCTAAATTAGATTTCACATGATTCTAAATCTAATCATGGGTGTCTAACTATTATATGTCTATTATAGTCTAGAGATCCACATTAATTGTTGTAGTTAATTTACCAAGTGTCTCAGTTAGGAAGATATTCCGTTTAGGAAGTGTTCACATAGAACTTATAAATTTGTCTTCCCCCCCCCCTACTCCACCTTTTCTTTATCCACTTTTACACTATTATTAAAAAAAATGATGCCCTGTAAGCCCCCTTGGCCCATCTCTTCTATCCCTTCCACCCCTGCCCCCCCCTCTCCCAGCCCTGCCCCCCCCCACCCTACGAGCCCCGCCCCTCGGCCCATCCGTGCCAAACCTGCCCTCGGCCCCCCCCCCTCGCCCCCCCCCCCCCGTGCCTTCCTTACCCTGACTCCAACCAGCGCTAATCACCATAATATATGTTTCAAAACAACACATTAATAACTCCTGGGCGTTGCCGGGTGTCATGCAAGCTGGTGCTGAGGGCGCCGGCCCCGGGCACTGCTCGTTCCTGCAGGGGCCTCCACTACACCCGGTGTTCCCTCCGGGGATAAGTAACGTTCCTGCAGGGGCCTCCACTACACCCGGTGTTCCCTCCAGGGATAAGTAACGTTCCTGCGTTACGTCCAGTGTTCCTTGGGAGGTTAAGGAACGCTGGTCACAAGGCCAGGCTACCTGCCATGGCAGAGGCGCGAACATGGGCACGCTGGTGGACACTATGTACCCAAATGAACCACAGGGATGTCAGAATGGGTACGAACACGTGAATAAAAATAGGTGAGTACACACACGCAATGAGCGTTAAAAATTTATACAAATCAGAACAGACGACGTCGACGACAGAACACTTCAGGAAGACCAACAGTCAGCGAAGAGGGTCCCGGAAATGGCTATTGGAAATCAATGCAGTAAGTGTAAAGTAATGAAAATGTTGACAGAGAACACAAAACAAACATCAAAATAGCCTTCAAGTACATTAACGAGGAGGTATTTATAACGCTGAACTCCCCTTATCTGCCACCTGCATTAGAGTACGCAGCACCGGCGTGGAGTCCAAAACTCAAAAAGAAAATAAGAACACTTGAATGAAACAGTAATTTGCTACTACAAACATCACAAAACTGAGGGGATAGGTTGAAAAAAAAAACTGAAAGATCTGCACCAAACGAGGACATCAATAAAGTAGCGAGGAGGCATGACAGAGATATACAAAATCCTTAGTGCAATTAACACACTGAAAAAGAACTAAATCTTTGCCATAACAATAAACGAGAGGAAACTTCTTTAGAGTAAGATTAACGAGAAAATTCAATAAAATAGTTGAATAGGCAATGAAAGTTAACTCTAGAATTTTAATAAAAGTAGATATGACAGTTGACGTGAAGGGGAGGAGTTATTGGATTATAACCACGGAAGGCTAGAGAGGCGGGGCCCAAGATCAGAAGCCCGATCCTGCAGGCACACATTGGTGAGTATACACGCGCCGCGCGCGCACGTTCACCTCGAGAACCAAGGAACACATTTGTGACCTCTCACTTCGTAAAGTATTGACCAACAATAATGGAAAACAATTGGTTAATGCAGGCATTGAGGGGGAGGGGTATTGGAGGGGGGGAGGGGTATTGGAGGGGGGGAAATAGGGTGCAGGAGGGACGCAAAGGGGCACCTGGCCCCTCCCCTTACCCCCTCTTCCCTTTACAACCATACAACAAAATACACTGTAAATTATGTACTTTTCATATTGTATGTTTGTTCTTCACTTCTCGATGTTCCGACAATTTGTCTTACTCTATCTGAGGTTTGTGTCTATCTTGGACATGTCTCTCATCATGGTACCGTCTTGGTGCTATCTCTGACTCACATGGCGTGTCTCTCATTACTGGTTCACACGGCACAATGCTAATCTCTCTATCTGATCTTATAATAACAACGAACTCCTGAGACATTTATATTTCACAGAGCAAGATACCATTCCCAGCGCAGTCCGGATAATATCAATAGGAATACAAACAGGTGTTCATACACACACTAAAGGTCAATTATCGACTAATAACAATACAAGAGTGTTAATTCCATGACGTCACACACGAGCTGACTCCTGGTAATATAGGTCTCCAGTCTGCTTTGTTTACCAAGTGTAAGTCTTCCATGACGTCACCCGCGGGGTTGCCAGCGTGTGATTAAAGTTAAGCAAAGGTTGTGTGTAGACAAATCGTCCAATTACAGCCTCGTTCGCCGCAGGGCCGATAATATATGCTTCCCGGGGAATCGGCAGCATAATTTGTCTTGTATCGATCGTTGCCGGCGATAAACGACGGGAAAACGATAAACAAATTGATTCATGAGGCGACAGGAATTGCGGGAGTGACGTCACAGACGCTCCGCCCACGGGCGTGACGTCACAGTCTGGGACACTAACCCAACCCAACACTTGGGTGATGTGAACTTGGCAAGGTCAGGATGAGTCGCCCTACACACCTGTCACACTCACGCTAAGGACGAGTCGCCCTACACACCTGTCACACTCACGCCAAGGACGAGTCGCCCTACACACCTGTCACACTCACGCCAAGGACGAGTCGCCCTACACACCTGTCACACTCACGCCAAGGACGAGTCGCCCTACACACCTGCCACACTCACACCGAGGAAGAGTCGCCCTACACACCTGCCACACTCACACCAAGGAAGAGTCGCCCTACACACCTGCCACACTCACGCCAAGGAAGAGTCGCCCTACACACCTGCCACACTCACGCCAAGGACGA